GCGTTGTGCGCAGACGAAAATTGCAAAGCTATTCCACTAAGCAGTAAGCGAAAATTGCAGATTTAACCCACCAATCATTAAGCCAAAAATTCAACCAATCATCTTCAAGAACGGCAACCAAAAATACCAATAAAATTTGTCGTACCTGGTACTGTATAGTACGAGGCCGATTAAGATGGAAGTTGACAGGACCCTATATATTTCGAATTTGTCGTCAAAGATGTCCGAAGAAATCATATACGAACTTTTTCTTCAGGCTGGTCCGATAGAGTCGGTTTCACTCAAGGGCGGTTTTGGCTTTGTTACATTCGAGGATGAGGAATCTGTGCTCTATTCGTGTTCATTGTTCGAGGGAGTTCGTCTATTTGACCAAGAACTCAAAATAAAACCAAGAGCCGGATCGAAATACGCGAACCAAAAGTTCACTTCCGTTCCTCCATATCTCAACGGCGGAAGCTCGATGCCATCACGTGGTCATGGCCACTCATCTGATCCCCTTGGTCAGCAGGTCCCGAGATTGTTTGTTGCCCCACCCCCTTTTCCAAACCATTTCCCTTACGATGCCAATTGTCCCAATGCACCACTTCTGGCACCCAACATGTATGGGGAACACGCCACGAATTCTGTTTTCAGTCGTCTCAGCCAGTGTCGTAGGACACTATCGTACGGTCCCGACTCATTTGCACAAAAGCGTTCCGACTTCAATGGAGGTTCAATAGGGCAAACTTTTCCGCCTGTGTTTCCCCCATTGGGTGGTTTTCGTCAGAATAGTAGTGACCATGTTGGCAATTTTCAGCGCTCCTACTCTAGTGGCTACAAGTAACTACAAGCGGCGTTGTCTATCAGGAGTTCAGTTGACGAAATATATACTGTCCTCTTATACTTATTTTTTTTTGATCTTTCAGTACCAGTTTGGATTTTTTAAGTTGAATCTCTTAACTTGTATTTTAAATTGACAGTAAAAGATGGAACGTGGTATTGGTGCTGTAAAATCCGTCTTCGTAGTCATTTCCGGAAAGGGAGGGGTGGGCAAGTCAACCGTCGCCTGTCAGCTGGCCATCGGACTGGCACAGAAGAACCTTCGTGTAGGACTCTTAGATGTTGATCTGTGTGGTCCATCTATTCCCCGAATTCTGGGCTTGGAGAATGCGCAGGTAAGAAAGAATCTTCTGTGTTGTCCTTGTTCCAGAGACGGTTTTCTATGTCAATTATTGTGTTGTTCATTAAATCGTTTAGTTTGGTGTGCACTGGTAGTAATGGTTGATTGTTAACTTGACGTGATTTACTTCGGCCACACCAGTCCTCATGTAAAATCGTTTTTAGTCCTTACTATAACAAGTAATTTTTATACCGCAGATATTAATTATAGCCCTTGAAAGCCAGTCCATAACTCGTAGACGATACGGGAAAAACTGCTGTTGACCTGTACTTGTCATGTCTAACCGCCACACGCACACCATGAAGGGCGAATTTTAATTGTTGGTCAGTCTTTATTAGAGCTGGTGAAATTGTCATGAGCAACTTCAAGTAGGTGAATATTTTTCCGTTTTCTGTAATTTGAAAAAAAAGATACATGAATATATTTGCTCCCTTCGAAGCGACCAACTAACTTGCGCTTTTGATTCCTTATATTCACAAGAGCCCTACTCACACAGAGTTTTCCACGGTTTTCTCACGAACAGGAGCATCAGGAAGATGGGACCCTCCCGACTTCAAGTTACTACACGCGCTCATTCGTGGTGGTTTAGGAAATGGTCTTCAGTAAGCGTCAGTTGGGAAGTAAACAGTCTTTTGTCCTCTAATGGTATCTCCACAGTGAGGCGACAGCAAGTAACTGTGGGAGAGTAGTGGTAGGTATGTCCGATCAACAGCGGATTTTGTCAATTTGGTCGCCATGACAACAATAGCGAACCGGCACCTACAGCTTTTACCCTCCCGTTCCATCGACGGTCCGATTTTATTCACGCAGCAGCCTTATTGGCTGTTTTTATGGAATTTTATTATATAGATTTAACGCACAAAACTCAATATCCTCTAATTTAATTATCATTTGACTTCTTGCTATCCGGCCTGGATTGTGACGGGAAGAAGGAATCTGGGATTGGTGAATAAGCAACCGTTAACCAGCAACTACAGCATCAACAAACTCTGAAAGTGAACTATTTATACAATATCGTACAGACTGATGAGGAAACTGACATAGCGGTCACGAGAGACCCCAAAATAAGTCCTTGATGTCGCTGAATTTTACACCGAAATGCATCGAAAGACCGAGCAAAGAAGACTCGACCTGTACGAAACCCGCAGCCTTTTAGAAGTGGGGGCTCGAGAATGAGTCTTGATTCGTGATTGGGAGTTTGCAGTACAAGACGTAACCGCACCCCTTTCAGTAGGCAGAATGCTAAGTATGCAACATGACTTCTAAACCCTTGCTACTGTTCCTGCATCAACAGACGCGCCTAAACCTCTAGTAGTTGTTTTGTTCGACTTATCAGAGTGCTGCTGCACCTACGCGGGGCGAATATTTGTCGAAATAAGTCGCCCCATCTAATCGAAGGCTATTCAATTGCAGAGTCGTCATAGAAGTGTTTTACTTGCACTTTAGTCTTCAAAAAGTCAATAAACGAACAATTTACGGAAATGTGTGCCTGGCGAATAATGCAGACATCACTGTGTGCCTTAATTTTTGTAATTGAGCCCAGAACGTCTAATTTGAGGCTCACATATGCTTGGGCGCTTTCGGAACTGCGACACCTACCGAGTAGCCAACTAGTTAAGTATTTTCAAGTGGGCAGGGCTGAACAATCGCGCTGTGTGCCGTTATCATTTTGTGTAGGGACGCCAGAGGAAAGGTCGCAGCACTGAAATAATAAGGCGAGCGACAAAGAACGCATTCAAATCATCAACTTATTTTGGTTTCGAATGCGCATTCGTTGGCTTTGGCTACCAAAATCCGAGAGCGTTCCCCGCTTCCAGCATCCGGTACCACGGTTTCTTTTCTGTTTGGTCCCTCGACCTGTCCACCTTAAACGCTATTCAGTTGAACACAGTAATTTATCCCCAGCTGGCCAGTATCCTCAGCATATATGATACCACCCAAACGTGGCCTGTTGGATGAAGTCACCAGGCGCAGTTCAGTTATAGTAGCAGCAATTGGCTGGTCACGTTGACGAATTTCATCTACCAGTTCTTACAGCTGTAAGCCTAAGATCTCTTTATCACGAGGCGAAGTAAGAAGTATACGAAGTAGACTTATTTAATGTGTCGTATGAGC